AAAAATAAAATATATATATATATATATATATATTTATTTATTTTTACTTTTAAAATGGGCTTTCATTGCGTTTCAGGGCGTTTGCATGCGTTCCAGAGCAGGTAAAATAGGGCCTGCTGTAGTTTTTTTACCTGCTCTAGATCTGCTCTGGAACGGAACGCTGCGATATGAACTGGAGCTAAAAATACAATTGGAATACATTGGACGCAGTTTTGCTCCGGTCTGTAACTGCTCTGCTCCTGGAACGCGCTTGGTGTGAACAAGGCCTAAAGCAGATGGCAGATTCCTTTTACTCCTAACTTGATTTTCCAGCACCATGTTTAAAGTGAGATGCTTCCCTGGCTGCTATCCAGAAGGAAGGATATTTGCAATTGTAGAAGAGCAGGCCGTCTGTTTGAGCTATGCTCCCATGATACATGTCAGAGTCTAAAAAGAAAGACTTAATGCTAAAAAGCAGCCTCTTTGGACCAGGTCTTGCTATCCTATTGATTGCAAGAGATCTTCCCTCTAAAGGTAACCATACACTGTGCGATTGTCGCACGATAATCGCGGGAAATCCCGCGATCGTACGATAATCGCAAAGTATATGGCAGGCGTGCAACCGTTTTTACTGTACGGTCGCACATCTTTTGTCTAAGGAGCATGTTCGAAAACCAGCCGAAAATCCTACGATTTTCGGCTGGTTTGTGCCATGCTTTACTAGGGGCCAGCGAAGTATCCACTACAAACATGGCGCTGGCAGATTGAGTGAAGTGAATGTGAGCACTCCCGGGACAGGTACCAAACCTTCTGATTAAAAAAAGTAATCAACCTTTTGTTTAAAATCTCTAAACATTACCCATTCCTCATTATTAAATATAGGTCTTCCCCTCTATTACACAGAACCTTTCTTGTTTTATTGATTCTAACCTGGCTTACACTAGTGTGACCATATATAAATAGGCTTACCAGTATATAAGATGACTTTTTTCAACTGCTAATAGGGAAATATATTATGTAGCTTATGTACGAACAAGCCGCCACTTTGCCGTTGCCCCTATAGGTGCAGTACAGGCCTACTGTGCCTACTGAGAGAGCACAAAAAGTACACAATTGGATCCAGAACTGTACTAACCTAGCAATGGGGATGCACATAAATAAATTCATAGGTCAGACGAGCTTACCCAGAAAAATATGGGGCATTACTCTTTATACATTCAGTCTACTTTTTAGCAATCTCAGTTCTGCCCTACCGAAAGAACATTAAGGACTCATTCACATGAGAAAAGGCCGGCACGTACAGCTCCGTGCTGTGTGCGTGGCCGTATGGGGGAGCTCCTGGGAAGGACAGGAGCTGCGTGTGATTAGTACGCAGCCCCTGTCCTTCTCTTTGGGGGTACGCAGCCATATGCCGCCCTACGCTCACCCCAAATGCAGGTCCGTACAGGTGCAGGTGTCCTTGCTGGGACGCAGACAGGATCCATGCTGTCAGCGTATGAGTACTGACAACCGCACGGACGTGCAAAGCGGGTGAGTGAAGGGCGGCGTACGGCCGCATACTCCCAAAGAGAAGGACAGGGGCTGCCTAAAAATCACGCACAGCACGGAGCTGTATGTGCCGGCCTTTTCTTCTGTGAATGAGGCCTAACTTTCCAAAGTATAAAGGTTAAAGAGGAATTGTCACTTTGCCCCCCCACTCCCAACTGATTTTCATCTTGACCCATTGCTCCTTCCAATGCCTCAGTTGGCAAAAATACCCAGTGCTACCCGTTACGGGGGTGAATGTGACTTCCTCCCATGTGATGGTGCTTGGATCTAGCACCCAACCACTAGGCCCAAGCTCTGTCACATGATGGAGAGGGCAACACCACCGTTCCCTCTAGTATCCGACACTGTGGATTTTGGTGCTGGTTGTGACAAAAAAAGAAACGGCAGGGTAAAGTGCTGCCAGGGTTAAAATCAGTGGGCCGGAGGTGGGTCCTTTACACCGAAATGGGCAAGGTGACCATGTCTC